TCAATCTCTAATAATAATAATATAATAATAATTAATTTTAATCTCATTTTGTACTTATTTGCACGAGTAAAATTGTCTTTATTTCAGCTAGCTTATCAGCTATAAATCTTAAGCTATAAACTCAAAAATTACTCATATAAACTATAAGTTAACTTATCAATTAGTTTTACCAAACATAGTCTAAAAAGTGAAAGCGCACACACTTCAAGGTTGCCTATAAATAAGACCCTCCTCGCCTCAGGCTTCCTTCACCCTCACGACAACCAAATCCAATCATCAAGAAATGGAGAAAGCAACATCAGCTGAAAACCCGTGCCACGTCATCCTCATCCCATACCCGAGCCAGGGCCACATCAACCCCCTCCTCCACCTCCAGTTCGCCAAGCGCCTCTCCTCCAAGGCCGTCCGCACCACCCTTGCCGCCACCCACTACACCGCCTCCTCCAGCCACGCCCCAAATTTTGGTTAGCATCTCTTTAAACAAATAAATAATATTATACTATTATATCTTCATGAATTGCCTTCTAAACACTCGAAATGATACGTATCCAATTTTATATAGTTACATAAAATGTCTTATATTGGAAAATTTGAATTGCATCCAAAAGCTTGAATACGATTGATTGAATTATTTGTCACATTCTTTTTTTGACAACTCATATCATACAAGTGGGGTACACCGGGAGACCACAACGTGACATATAGTAATGTGGTAGCGGTCACAAAGGTTTAGTGATGACATCATTCATGATGATGTAATTATTTTTGCGTAACTGACGACGATAGCTGTAAACGTCAGCTTACGCACCCAAAAATAGGTATCATTAATCATAACGGATTAATTTCTCCATGAAAAATTTGATGATAAAATTAACTTCCGTATATTTTTTTCTCAACTCTCACCTGAATTAGAATTTAAATTTTTCAATTAAAAAGCTTTTGTCTTAATTGATGTTACGATAATTATTTTAGGGAAAATGATAATTTGTTGTAAGGTATAAATATACCTATGAAATATTTTAAAATATTGATACACCATTAAAGTTAACTATTATTAATATATACTTCTGGTTGACGGAAAAAAAAAATTGTTAACTCCACATTAATTAGCCAAAAAAGAAATTAATAATAATAAGAAGAAGAACTTTCAAGAATTCATAAATACTAAGAAATTAAGTAAATTAATAAATATTTAGTAATCTCCTAACTTAATAGAGTGAAAGATTATAGGTGGGATTATTATATTAGTTGAAGTTGATTATTATTATATTAGTTGAAGTTGATTTATATTTCAAAAGAGCTATAAGCTATAAGCTCAAAAATTACTGATAAACTATAAACAAGCTAATCAATAAGTTTTACCAAACCACACAGCTCAAGGATGCCTATAAATAAGGCTCTCCTCGCCTAAGGCTTCCTTCACCCCACAACAATCACAATCCAATCATCAAGAAATGGAGAAAGCAGCAGAAGAAAACACATGCCACGTCATCCTCATCCCGTACCCGAGCCAGGGCCACATCAACCCCCTCCTCCAGTTTGCCAAGCGCCTCGCCTCCAAAGCCGTCCGCACCACCATTGCCACCACCCACTACACCGCCCCCTCCATCCACGCCCCAGGCATCACAGTCTACCCCATCTCGGACGGCTTCGATCGGGCTGGGTTCTCGGAGGCCCGCGACTGCCGGGCCTACCTCGACTCCTTCCGGGCCCACGGGTCAAGGACCCTCTCGAACCTCATCCAGGGGTCGGCCCACCACCACCCGGTCACGTGCGTGGTGTACGACGCCTTCCTCCCGTGGGCCCTCGACGTGGCCCGGGCCCACGGCGTGCGCGGGGCGGCCTTTTTCACCAACTCGGCGGCCGTTTGCGCGGTGTTCGGGCACGTGCACGCGGGCGTGGTGAGGCTGCCGGTGGATGTGGGGCCGCTCGTGCTGCCGGGGCTGCCGCCGTTGGGGATGGAGGATCTGCCGGGGTTCGTTAGGGAGCCGGACAGCTACCCGGCTTATCTGGCGATGAAGCTCAGCCAGTTTTCCAACTTGGACGGGGCAGATTTCGTGTTGTGTAACAGTTTTGAGGAGTTGGAAGGCCAGGTAAACGTGTCTTTGTTTGTGTTTGTGGGTGTATTTTCGTGATATGATATGGTCGACTAAGATAAGAGTTTTTTTTTAAGATGTATTGAATTTTATAATAACTTAATTTATTTTAGGAAATAAAATTAATACTGCTCCCTAACTAAATAAAGTATTTAATAATTTGGAGTTTTTAGGATGTTCCGGAGTATAAATAAAAAAGGGGAGAAAATGTCTTTTTAAGGATTTGGGGAAAGGGGCAAAACATATTTCCCTTTTCAAATTGGACAACAATACCATTTCTAGTAGGGAAGAAAAATGTTAAGTTCAAAATACGCGTTTTCAGTATACTATTCCATGAGGATTTAAATCATTTTTCAACTTTTATTTTCAACATTTAGATATTAGTAGATACTCCCTTCATTACACTTGTCCCATGAATGATAAACTCTGCTAAAAAGGTAATCACTTTTGTATTTGTGGAATGAAATGAAATTATTACACCCTACTATGTAATTATTTAAAGTTATTGCCAAAGGATTATTAGGTCCCATGCCATATCCATAAATATCAGAGCACATCATGTTCTCGTATAAAATAATTTTGAGTTAGGCAGCCACTAACGAACGTAAATAGTACATACAAATTATAATAGTCTATACATTTCAAAAAA